TGTGAGTTGAGACAGTGTGCGCAGTGTGTCTTATCTTAGTAATACTGTGTGTCTGAAAGTAATACTTTACTTTTAGAATGGTTGAGTTATATTTATAAACGCAATATATTATCATATTATTATGTAACCCGTGGGTTTATTAGTATAATGTGGAATACTGCTTTATATCCATGGTCGGGAGCAGAATGGCTGCACAAATTCAGCAGAAAGGTTGCAGTTAAATCACATTCAAATACATAATAATTCCATCACATTAATTTTGCGATCGAAAAGCTCCCGAACATAGATGTATGCCTTCTCCCCTATACATACTATACACTATACACCATACACTATACACTATACACTATACACTATACACTATACTTCTCCCCCACGCAAGCCGGTTGTTCTCGTCTAAGCTATGCTTGGTGTAGCTCGTTGGGATAGTATAGGAATTCTAATTCCTATAAGTTGGGAATGAGGTAATTATCTGTTCACAGATCACCCTCTAAAACCTACAAGGAAATATTTCCTGTAGATTCTCGGTATAAAAGCAACATTTGACGGAGCATCTTGTGGAGTGAGCTATGTGCCCATCCTTGGCGAACTCGGTGAATGTCCTTGCTGTACGGCAGTGTTAAACAAGGAACTGAAACCGAGGGGTTCCGTTCAGGCCCTTCAAACTTTGTTTCTGTCTGGTTCTAATATACCGTTACAATAATGACTTTAATATATATACAGGGGTACCTTAAGAGTAAGGTTTACACTAATCCCACTCCCAAAACAAGAGAGGAGCTAAATAAAAAGTAAACATCAGAAGGGAAGCCTGAAAGATCAAACTTCATGCAGTCAAGTCGGCTGTAGATAATTGTCTTACACGTTATCAACATGTCCTAGCTAATAAAGGACGATGGGTTGAGCAAATTATTAATTGTTAAGTATTTTTATTGTATTATTATAATATTTATATATTTTCATTACCTAAATATGCAAAAATTAAGTGGAAATTTCATTTGTCAAACAAATTAGAGCCATTTACATTCCACACACTATTTTCAACTCACCCTGTATATAGCTACTTGGCCCCCAATTTAGCCGGCGCGTGCTTTATTGTTTACATCCCGGAGTGCTGCGTGGAGATTGTTTATTAGTATTATGATATTATACTTCTCCACTGGAGAAGTATAATATCATAATACTAATAAACATTTGTACTCTTGAGTAATCTGTAATTAGGGGGTAGTGTATTAAGTACTAGTGCACAGATATTACATAATAAGTATTAAGTACTAGTGCACAGATATTACACAATAAGTTCTAGTGCACTGCAGATATGCACTATAAGGCTATAATAAGTACTAGTGCACTGCAGATATGCACTATAATAATCTCACTATATTGCTTGTTGTACTGCAGATATGCACTATAATAATCTCACTATATTGCTTGTTGTACTGCAGATATGCACTATAATAATCTCACTATATTGCTTGTTGTACTGCAGATATGCACTATAATAATCTCACTATATTGCTTGTTGTACTGCAGATATGCACTATAATAATCTCACTATATTGCTTGTTGTACTGCAGATATAAATCAAGAGGCTTGCATATAATGAACATATTGACACGGGTGCAGAGTTGAGTCTGTACGGAACCTAGTAGTTTCAGATCCTTGTTTAACTTGCCGTACAGCAAGGTCATCCACTACTTTAGCCCGGCGAGGCACATAACTCGCTCTACAACTCCATGACAAATGTTTCATATATACTAGCCGAGTTCACAAGTTATATCCTTGTGTTTGAGAAGAGCTCGTTAGAACTGCTTCCTTTCCCTTCAGTATCCCACAGTCTCTCGAGTTTCGTAACTGCCAGAGAACTCTCTTAAACACTATATGCACTATATGCACTATAATAATCTCACTATATTGCTTGTTGTACTGAGGGCAGTGTAGTTACCGACCTGAATTAGGCCTTATAGAGCAGCAACCACACCACACTACACTACTTATAGATGTAGCAGGAGCAGCTTAGTGCTGTTTACCAGACTGTCACACTTTGTTTCTTCAATATTACTACACGACGCGGCCTCACTACTCTGCCTTTATTTAGTTATATAGCTTGTTTGTCACTAGTTATATAGCTTGTTTGTCACTAGTCTTGATCTTTATCTGAGGTTTGATTGTTCGGTAGTATTGTTGAGGAGCTTGGAGTTTACTGTAGTTGTTTAGACATTAATTGTTCCGTAACCAGCTGCAGTGAATTTTTAGTTCTTGTTTTTGTGTGGTTGTTCTCTGAGATGGCAGATAAGCTCTTCAAGCGAGCAAGTTAGTACACGATACACAACCACACTACACAACTACACAACCACACTACACAACCACACTACACAACCACACTACACAACCACACTACACAACCACACTACACAACCACACTACACAACTACACAACCACACTACACAACCACACAACCACACTACACAACCACACTACACAACCACACTACACAACCACACTACACAACCACACTACACAACCACACTACACAACCACACTACACAACCACACTACACAACCACACTACACAACCACACTACACAACCACACTACACAACCACACTACACAACCACACTACACAACCACACTACACAACCACACTACACAACCACACTACACAACCACACTACACAACCACACTACACAACCACACTACACAACCACACTACACAACCACACTACACAACCACACTACACAACCACACTACACAACCACACTACACAACCACACTACACAACCACACTACACAACCACACTACACAACCACACTACACAACCACACTACACAACCACACTACACAACCACACTACACAACCACACTACACAACCACACTACACAACCACACTACACAACCACACTACACAACCACACTACACAACCACACTACACAACCACACTACACAACCACACTACACAACCACACTACACAACCACACTACACAACCACACTACACAACTACACTACACAACCACTACACACACTACACATCCACACTACACAACCACACTACACAACTACACTACACAACCACACTACACAACCACACTACACAACCACACTACACAACCACACAACCACACAACCACACTACACAACCACACTACACAACCACACTACACAACCACGCTACACAACCACGCTACACAACCATACGTAGTTATATGTCATAATATTACTATTGAAATATTTCACTATAGAATTGTACAGTATGGTTTTTTAGATCATATTTTTATTTTTTGTAATTTGATTCTTAATTCTTTACAGTTGACTAGTATTGATTAATATTATGTCTTGTGAAACGTGGTTTCAGTTTAAGAAATTAAGTATGAGTGGGGTACACTACCCCCTATATTTGGGGGGTGGGGGTAACACCACGATGCACAATGTGCATGTTTTGCAAAGATATCCCCAGAAATTTTAAAGGTTCTGCCTTCCATGTTTCTATATTTCATCAAAAATCGTTAAGTGGTTAAGAGGCCTTCTCCAGAAGAGAGGGGCACATTACCCCCGATATGTTGGGGGTACACTACCTATACTCCCGATATGTTGGGGGTACACCACCCCCGATATTTTGGGGTACATTACCCCCCAACATATTTGGGGTAATGTATCGGTGCCCCGATATGTTGGGGGTACACTACCCCCGATATGTTGGGGGTACACTACCCCCGATATGTTGGGGGGTACACTACCCCCGATATGTTGGGGTACACTACCCCTCTAGTCGATACTAGAGTCGATTCTCCCACTGCTTTTCATTTTCCCGACTCGAAATGAATCAGCTCAGCATGCTGCCCGATGCTGCACGCCGTAGTTTCGGTACTTGAGTTACCTTAATTTGACCTACAATACATTTAAATCTGATTAAACTAGTTAGTCACATTAGTCTCTAGTCGGTTCAGCCACCTCTCGAAGCATGGCATACACGTACATTTACATTTAGGTACTTATTCCGAATTATATCGTTGATGGGCCTTTTGATTGCCGAATGTTTAATTGTTAGTGTATCATTAGATAGTGTTTACGGAGGGAGGGGTTGGCACTGTTTGGCAGTCCAGCTTTGTTGTTTTATTGCTCATTAACTTACACTACGTTTTGTAGAACTCGAGTACAGCGTTTTTAAGGTGTTTAATTATACTGCGTCTTGTTAGTGTTGTCAGATTGGTACCCCCCCCCCCCCCCCCCCTGTCGGATGGATGCTTTCTCTTTAAATCTTGATTTAGTGGACGATTTCAAGAAACTATCCAAGGATTTAGGTCAATCTATCCGGAGTTAGTAGTTACACAATACACAATATGTAACGCATCCATAACAGTGATATTCATCACTTAATTGTTTATATTTTATTTAATAATTCATTATACCATCTTCAATATATTCACCTACTTATAGACTCGTTAGCGTTAAAACACCAACCCTTAAGGCATGTTCATCCTTCCGTAATGTAAAACTACGGGTTCTAAAGACAAGATACATCCCCACCCCATGCGTGCATTAACAATCTGCAAAGCAGTACAGTGCAGTACAGTACAGTGCAGTACAGTACAGTACAGTACAGTGCAGTACAGTACAGTACAGTACAGTACAGTACAGTACAGTACAGTACAGTACAGTACAGTACAGTACAGTACAGTACAGTACAGTACAGTACAGTACAGTACAGTACAGTACAGTACAGTTTAACTAACCAACCACATCCCCCAGGTTCTGGTGTGATAGAGCTTGCAGAAGCTATAGGAGAGTAACTAACCAACCCCTCCCCCCAGGTTCTGGTGTGATAGAGCTTGCAGAAGCTATAGGAGAGTAACTAACCAACCCCTCCCCCCAGGTTCTGGTGTGATAGAGCTTGCAGAAGCTATAGGAGAGTAACTAACCAACCCCTCCCCCCAGGTTCTGGTGTGATAGAGCTTGCAGAAGCTATAGGAGTGTAACTAACCAACCCCTCCCCCCAGGTTCTGGTGTGATAGAGCTTGCAGAAGCTATAGGAGAGTCCATATCCAGCTCCAGCAGAGAACCAATACTAACTGAACACGTGTCAGAACCCTCAGTACCAGTTGAAGAGCTCTCTAACCTTGCCAGGTACGTGTTGGTTTGTCTCTAACCTTGCCAAGTACGTGTTGGTTTGTCTCTAACCTTGCCAGGTACGTGTTGGTTTGTCTCTAACCTTGCCAGGTACGTGTTGGTTTGTCTCTAACCTTGCCAGGTACGTGTTGGTTTGTCTCTAACCTTGCCAGGTACGTGTTGGTTTGTCTCTAACCTTGCCAGGTACGTGTTGGTTTGTCTCTAACCTTGCCAGGTACGTGTTGGTTTGTCTCTAACCTTGCCAGGTACGTGTTGGTTTGTCTCTAACCTTGCCAGGTACGTGTTGGTTTGTCTCTAACCTTGCCAGGTACGTGTTGGTTTGTCTCTAACCTTGCCAGGTACGTGTTGGTTTGTCTCTAACCTTGCCAGGTACGTGTTGGTTTGTCTCTAACCTTGCCAGGTACGTGTTGGTTTGTCTCTAACCTTGCCAGGTACGTGTTGGTTTGTCTCTAACCTTGCCAGGTACGTGTTGGTTTGTCTCTAACCTTGCCAGGTACGTGTTGGTTTGTCTCTAACCTTGCCAGGTACGTGTTGGTTTGTCTCTAACCTTGCCAGGTACGTGTTGGTTTGTCTCTAACCTTGCCAGGTACGTGTTGGTTTGTCTCTAACCTTGCCAGGTACGTGTTGGTTTGTCTCTAACCTTGCCAGGTACGTGTTGGTTTGTCTCTAACCTTGCCAGGTACGTGTTGGTTTGTCTCTAACCTTGCCAGGTACGTGTTGGTTTGTCTCTAACCTTGCCAGGTACGTGTTGGTTTGTCTCTAACCTTGCCAGGTACGTGTTGGTTTGTCTCTAACCTTGCCAGGTACGTGTTGGTTTGTCTCTAACCTTGCCAGGTACGTGTTGGTTTGTCTCTAACCTTGCCAGGTACGTGTTGGTTTGTCTCTAACCTTGCCAGGTACGTGTTGGTTTGTCTCTAACCTTGCCAGGTACGTGTTGGTTTGTCTCTAACCTTGCCAGGTACGTGTTGGTTTGTCTGTCTGTCTATTTGTTTGTAGTAATGTTTTAGTCGTAAGGTTTGTTTGTTTGTCTGTTTGTAGTTATATCATAGGTACAGTCAGGACTCAGGTATGTTTAATGTTTATGTTTTTGTTTGCAGCAACAACAATGCTAGTTATTCAAAAATCCAAAAATAAAATAAAATGTAGAAACAAGTTTATTTGTTCACTAAAACGCACTCACGACCCATGGATCATAACCAGAACTGCACACCTCCAAACTGCACAGTGCACGTAATTTATAATCACCAGTTTAGACTTTAGTGCTGTCGGTATTCTATAATCACCAGTTAAGCGCTGTCGGTATTCTATAATCACCAGTTTAGACTTTAGTGCTGTCGGTATTCTATAATCACCAGTTTAGCGCTGTCGGTATTCTATAATCACCAGTTTAGACTTTAGCGCTGTCGGTATTCTATAATCACCAGTTTAGACTTTAGTGCTGTCGGTATTCTATAATCACCAGTTTAGCGCTGTCGGTATTCTATAATCACCAGTTTAGACATTAGTGCTGTCGGTATTCTATAATCACCAGTTTAGCGCTGTCGGTATTCTATAATCACCAGTTTAGACTTTAGCGCTTTCGGTATTCTATAATCACCAGTTTAGAATTTAGTGCTGTCGGTATTCTATAATCACCAGTTTAGCGCTGTCGGTATTCTATAATCACCAGTTTAGACTTTAGCGCTGTCGGTATTCTATAATCACCAGTTTAGCGCTGTCGGTATTCTATAATCACCAGTTTAGACTTTAGTGCTGTCGGTATTCTATAATCACCAGTTTAGCGCTGTCGGTATTCTATAATCACCAGTTTAGACTTTAATAGTGCTGTCGGTATTCTATAATCACCAGTTTAGACTTTAGTGCTGTCGGTATTCTATAATCACCAGTTTAGACTTTAGTGCTGTCGGTATTCTATAATCACCAGTTTAGTGCTGTCGGTATTCTATAATCACCAGTTTAGCGCTGTCGGTATTCTATAATCACCAGTTTAGACTTTAGTGCTGTCGGTATTCTATAATCACCAGTTTAGACTTTAGTGCTGTCGGTATTTTGTAGGTTTACAACCCACCAGGACGCGCGCCGAGTTGGACTCGTCGACGGTCTAATATATGGAACAGATATTTTACGAGTATCACCCGTTAATCGGTATTCTATGATCACCAGTTTAGCGCTGATCGGATCAATCACACACGTTCCGAAGAAGCACAGTTGTAACATGCAGCCACATCCTGCCAGCTTGTTAGCTGTAACACTACTCTGTTAGCTGTACCGAGCTTCAGTTACTCTCTCTCGCGGTCCGCGTATAATTACTTGTGATAATAGACGCATTGTTCGACTTGCTACGTTGTGTTTTGCAATTCTACTCTCATATTTATTTATAACTAATGAATATGCGATGTATATCTTATTTGTTGTAATTATTGGACAACTAAAGACTCCAGTATACAACTAAATTAAATAGAGGGTAATAAAGGAGAGAGGCCCTGTTTGTATGTATTCCTCAATTATATTAATTGATTATATTAATTAATTATATTTTTGCCCCTCATCAAGTACAGTTTACTGCAAAAACCCGCGGTAAATCGGGGTTTTCGTTTTTAGGGTCCGAAACTGGTATAAAATGGGTGGATAAGGCCTCAAATCTATATAGATATTTTGGATAATCAGTAATCACACGTATTTAATTAGCTATCTAATGATTGTAAACTTTTAGAATTTACCTACAGTGTTTACCTTCTTAGTTATATGGTACATCATATTAGAACATGCGTCAATATCATGTGTTCTTAAAATTGTATCAGTAAATTTAGATCGGACCACAAACAATTGCTCCTATAGTGCGGATCTCAAACCAATTGGAACGTATTACTATTCTCAAGCATGGGATGAGTTAATGGGTAAAATGAGAATATAAATATGAATATGTGATTCGAGAAGCAGTAACGAGCACACCTTGAACCGAGCTAATGAGCTTGTGTAAGGGGTCGCATCCTTAGTACTAATACTATAAGAGTATATAATAAGGGATAACATCAATAAAGTCCACTACATCTTTATATACATGTATATAATAAAAATCAACTTGTGGAAAAATTCCGACCAAACTGTCGGAAAAAATCTTATTTTTCGTGTGAATTTCGAAGAAAAATTCGGGGGAAGTGAATTATCTGCGGTAAAACTAAGGTTTGCGGTAAATCGGGGTTTTTATTTACTGTTTTTATTTACTTTACCTGGATCTGAACGACGAATACCGAATTGTGTTAAATTGAATTATCCAATCGTTACCTAATGTATCGACGGTATTGTTCCATTTTTTATAGAATCGTTTGTACGTGTCCTCAATTTGTCCCTGCACATTTTGTGTGTGATTTTAGGATTTTAGGATTGCTATTGCAGTATTGATATTTGATACCGACATTGGGAAATTGGTAGATCACCGACCGGCTATAAGCCGGTTATAAGCCGGCTATAAACCGGCTTATAGCCGGCTACAATTTTTATAGCCGGCTATAAGCCGGCTTATAGCCGGTTAGTAGCCGCTTACATTTGTTGTTGAGCGACGGCTATTAGCCGGTTATAAGCCGGCTATTAGCCGTTTAGGTATCGGCTATAAGAAATTCAGTGAAAACGGCTATTAGCCGGTTATAAGCCGGCTATTAGCCGTTTAGGTATCGAAAGTGGTTATAAGCCGGCTATAAGCCGGTTATAAGATATTAACTCAACTTCATCGTACTGAACGATAGTCAGGAGCCGGCTATAAGAAATTCAGCGAAAACGGCTATTAGCCGGTTATAAGCCGGCTATTAGCCGTTTAGGTATCGAAAGTGGTTATAAGCCGGCTATAAGCCGGCTATAAGATATTAACTTAACTTCATCGTACTGAACTGAGTTAATATCTTATAACCGGCTTATAGCCGGCTTATAACCACTTTCGATACCTAAACGGCTAATAGCCGGCTTATAACCGGCTAATAGCCGTTTTCACTGAATTTCTTATAGCCGGCTCCTGATTATCGTTCAGTACGATGTAGTTGAGTTAATATCTTATAACCGGCTTATAGCCGGCTTATAGCCGGCTTATAACCACCTTTAATACCAAAACGGCTAATAGCAGGCTTATAACCGGCTAATAGCCGTCGCTCAACAACAAATGTAAGCGGCTACTAACCGGCTATAAGCCGGCTTATAGCCGGCTATAAAAATTGTAGCCGGCTATAAGCCGGCTTATAGCCGGTTAGTAGCCGGCTTATAGCCGGTCGGTGATCTACCAACTGGCCCCGACATTTACAAAGCAAAATTTCGTGAAAGTATTTTATTCGTGGAAAAGTGACGTAAATATACCGGCCTTTCTGGCGTTTTTTGTTGTATGTGATCTTAGGATTTTTATGATGAACTTTAGCGGACGCTTGCTCTCATTAAATATTTTGTAATAGTTTCTGATATAATTTATTAATATTATTTTAATCTGCTAGATGATACTCCCTTGTGGATGGCCGTAAAACGCCGAAACGAATCTTAAGCGGGTCGCCTCGAGGTACGTGGTTTTCATGTGTACATGACTACCATCAATCTTAACATTTCAGGATTGCTATTGTAGTAATATCATGAAATATTTAATTTAATTTTAGGGACTTTTTTTCGTTAGTTTCAAGTTAAGGGTATAATCCAGGTATTAGCGTGGTAGCCATTCGTCAAGCTGCACTTCATTAGTACAGACGAATCAGGCTTAATAAGTGTACCTGTAATGAGTGGTATGAAATTACCTGTGAAACCAGGTAATGTGATAGATGGGCCTAGTGTTTGTGACATTACCTGTGAAACCAGGTAATGTGATAGATGGGCCTAGTGTTTGTGACATTACCTGTGAAACCAGGTAATGTGATAGATGGGCCTAGTGTTTGTGACACAGATTCCTCCCGCTAAAAACAGAGGCTTCAGCTTGTGAAGTGAACAGCCATGATACGTTACCATGGTTACGGCGCCACGTGAAGCTATAT